AAACCCAAGGAGGGGTTGCTATGAGCCGACTTGACAGCACATAACAACAACAATGTCCTCTGAGTTCATCCACTCACTTTATGCAGTGTTTTGCAAATTCTACATTATTACTTAATATTGCATAGTATTCCATTATGTGTATGTACCATGGTTTGGTTATCCATTCTTCTATTGATGGGTGGTTAGATTGTTTCTCTTTGCTATTGTAAATAGTACTGTGATGAACTTGGAGTGCATATATCTGTTCTTGTACTGGCTCTCACTTCTTTAGGATATATACCTAGTAATGGGATTGCTGGATCAAATGGTCTTTCTGATTCCAACTTTTTGGTGGTGTAGTGCCTCCGGCATTTGACTGCTAATCAGAAGGCTGGCAGTTCAAACCCACCAGCTATTCCTTGGAAGGAAGATTGGGCAATCTACTTCCATAGTGATACTGCCTTGGAAACACAAGGAAGGGTCGCTGTGAGTCAGATCTGACTCGACAGCAGTGATTTTGGTTTTGATTTTTTATACCGATTTCCACAGTTGTTGTACCATTTTACAGTCCCACCAGCAGTGTCTGAGAGTCCCAATCTCTCCACATCCTCGCCAGCATTTGTTATTTTCTGTCTTGTTGAACTTTGCTGCTAGTGCTGGGGCCAGATGGTATCTCATTGTTATTTTGATTTGTATCTTTCTAATGGCTAATGATCGTGAACATTTCTTCATGTGTTTGTTGGCTGCATGAATACCTTCTTTGGTTAAGTGGATTTTTTCTATTTTAATTGGATTGTCTTTTTGTGGTTGAGATGTTGAAGTTTTCTATAAATTTTAGAGACAAGTTCCTTGTGAGGTGTGTCATTGCCAAATGTTTTTGTCCAGTCTGTAAGTTCTCTTCAATCTTTTGGAGAAGTCATTTGAAGCACATAAAATTTTAATTTTTACAAGGTTCCAATCATCTAGTTTATCTTCTGCTATTTGTACATTTTGGCTTATGCTTGATAATCTTTTTATGCCATAAATTAGGGTCCCTAAATTTGCCCCTATTTTTTCTTGAGGAACTTAATAGTTTTAGTTTTCATCTTTAAACTTTGATCTATCTGAAGTTAGTTTTTGTGTATGGTATGAAGTATGGATCTTGTTTTATTTTTCTGCAAATGGATATCTAATTTTGCCAGTACCTTTTGTTAAAGAGACAAGATCTTCGCCATTTAATGGATTTCGGCCTTTTGTCAGTGATCAGCTAACTATATAGGTTGATGGATCAATTTCTGGATTCTTAATTCTATTCCACTGGTCTATGTGTCTGTCTTTGTAAGAAATTGTAAACTCATATGCTGTGTAAACTATTCAGAATTATAGAAAAGAAAGGGAAGTTTCCAAATGCTTTTTAGGAAGCATGATGAGATTGGTAACAAAGCTCAAAAAGAGCGTAAATCATGGCTATAAATATATTTTTTTTTAATTTTATTTTGATTTGGGTGAAAATTTACAGAGTAAATTCACTTTTCATACAGCAATTCACATATACTTTGTCTCATGTCATTGACCAAAATTTACAATACAATAGCTCCCCTCCCACTTCCTCCCCATAGTTACCTCTTCCCAGTGTCCATCCCTCCATACTCTTTTGCGCCTTGAGCTGTCTCCCTGTGCATAAGCAGCGCTTCCTTCTCCCATGATTGTTCTCTCCAGGGTGTGTGTCTACTTGAGGTAAATGTTTAACTCACTTGCCTGTACTTTGT